TTTGGGACGGCAAATGGCCAGATGACATCATAACTAAGAGAGGACATTCATTTCAAGGAGGACAGTAAAACTTTCCATGTTCCAGGCTCCATGAAGATGAATTTTCTGGCCTCATTCAGTGCACACTGGTGAAAGGACATCCCTAGGATCTGTCCCCAGTATAGGTAACTCCTCCTTCAAGCCATCAGCACAGCAATACAAAATAGGGGGAAATGCATTTGGGTATCATCAAGCCTATTCCTCACGTCCTCTCAAAATGCATGGCACAGATGGAGAAACAAATTAACGTCAGAAAGGTCACCCACTTAGACATTGCTAGAACGGAAATGGTTTCAACTATGCATAAATCCACAGGCTTCACAATTTGGAGGACGAATTTACTCCACTACCCCCACCAAATAGTTAGGAATGGTGCAGTGCTCAGTAGAAAACACCTATGAGAAAAAAGCAGGGACTGCACTGATGCCATGGTTTGAATCTTTATAAATTAGGCACTTTATGGCACTATCAGAATTTTGCTTCTAGCCACTGAGAGACCTTTGGAGTTTGAAAAATTGATAGTGCACAGGCCTGAGTGCCCAGAAGGTATTAATTCTACGTTATTCAAATGTCTACAGGCAGCGACAACGGATAAAGACATCCCCATTAATATATCACAATGTGGGAAAGAGATACGGGCCTCTAGATGAAAACATTTGGGCACCAATTTGGTCTGCTGACACATTACTTCATTCATCCCTGAGCATTAATGAGTTAGCCTTTAAGTTGTTATCCCATAACCTCCATTTCAGCAAAGGCTGCAGATGCAATGAACAAAATGGCTCATTTTATCCTGCGTGTTGGTGATGTCTCAAGATAATTAAATTTGGGGACAGAGTTCTTCAATACATAAAGTCAGCCCGTCATGCCACAGCAGAAGCCCATAAACTGGTTCAAATATCACCTAATGTACTACATTTAACTTGAGAAAAAGAATAATTTCTCTACTTAAAATGGCTACAAAATTCTGCATAGCCAAGCAATAGAATTAAATGAATTGGTCCACAAGAGAGATGTTTATAAAGTCCACTTTTTAAGCAATTTTCTTGCCTTAAAATCAATAGCTCGAACCCTTAAAATGCATAATAACTTGATATTTTCTACAAAAGCTGCTAATGACCTAGCACTAAAGGAGAGTGAAGCTACTTTTGCCTTTCAAACGAAAGACTTTGTGTGTATGTGTTGTGTGTGTGTGTGTGTGTACTCATGCACGTGTGTTTGCATGCAGGCGTCTACTGGGGAGTGGAAATGAAGTGCATATAGGAGATACAAATTAATTTACTTTTGATTTTGTATCCCTGGCTCCTAGAATAATAACAAGTTCATGAGAGATGCTTAATAAACATTTATTGAATGGATAAAATAAAACAAATGCATAGAAATAAGTCTTGGCACAACTCAAATCTGATTTGAGAGAAAACAAAAATGGTACAAGGCAACTGGCAGCCACATACACCCGAAGTACAAGAATATTTATTAAAACACTGAGTGGCACTGAAGAACTTTACTGACCTCATAAAAACTAATTAAATAATTCTTTGATGCTTAAAAGTAATTTATAGTTTATAAAGAGTTGCATAAACAAGGTGATATGAGAGGTCATGAAATGAAATATATTCTTAGGAGATCTTCTTTACTGGCCATTTTGCACATAAATCCTCGAATTCCAATGTTTGGGAAGAGAACTGGTATTTTAATTATGGCTGAGACTTTTTAATATGACTAAGAAGGCATTTTAGATAAAAAGTTTATATCACAATATATCTCATACTCAATTTTATTCTTCCAGCTGTTCCTAAAACATCTCAGTGGTGACTACAGATCCCCACACTCTCAGTATGAGTCAGTGAAAACACTCCATTGGGGATGGCTCTGCTTAATGCTCCAGCCATGTTGGACGTCACAGCTGCTCAGCCCCTGGGCTTACTTTTCTGGGCATCCCAGTAGACTAGTCAAGAAGGCCGAAACTTTGCTACATTAATGATTCTGCCAGTTACAGGGAAATGGCCAAGCCCGGAGAGGGAAATGGGGAAGCATTATACGTTGGAGCTTAGTTCCAGAAGCTTTACTGTTGTGGCACATGGACTTTTCTGTGCCTGCCAAGGGAATATCTGGGAAAAGCCCAACTACTGAAGCTGGCCTGAAGCATTTTGGATAAGTACAGAAACAAGGAAGTGGCTAGTGAATACTCATAACTTCTAGAGACAATCAAAGAAGGAAGGTGGGTGACAAAGGAAAGGAATGCTTGCAGACAAGAGTTTGAATGTCACACATATTCAATCATCCCTAGTCAACTTTTACTTTGGCCACACTTCCAATTGGGAACAATGGCCCCGTGTAGAATTTAGGAGACCTGAGCTCTATCCCTGACTTTGTCACTAAGCATTTGTGTGTACTCTGGATCTTTTTATGGCTAGTTCCTCACCATTCAGATTTCAACTTTTAATGTCACCTCCTCAGAGAGTCTTTCCCTGCCACTCTACCTAATGCTACTCCTCGAAACCCTGAGCTCTCTCTAGTCCGTTAGCTTGTTTTACTTTCTTTGCAATTTTATTGAGATGTAAAAGCATTTATTTATTTGTTTGTTGTCTATCTCTTCCTTTAGATTGTAAAGTCCAAGAGAATAAAGACTTCATCAGTCTTGTTTACTCCTTTACTCCTAGTGCTTATTGCACTGCCTGACACACACCAGAGACCCAACGAATATCTGTTGAATGAGTGAATGTATGTATGCCCACGGACAACGTATTTAACTTTCTGTAGCTTAGATTGATCATCTGTAAAATTAATAGAAACCACTTGGTTATGTCCAAGATTAGCATGATAAAAAGAAAGGATAAATTTGTAAATCCTTTGAAAAAACCTTCATAATCCTTAAGTGTGTGACACTATGTTTAGAAAAACCAACATGGTAAAACAATAGTATTGGAATATTGCAGATGTCTGCTTGAATGTCAGTTCTGCCATGCACCCAGCTATGAGCCCTTGAGTAAGGCACTAGAATTTTCTAAGTCTCAGTTGCCTGGTTTGAAAGATGGTAGTGATAATAGTAATTACTTCTTAAGGCTGTTAAGATGATTAAATAAAATGATTTATGGCAATTGCCCAATATAATGTGTGGCACCTATTAGGTACTTTATTAATGGTAGCAATTTCTACGTTCAGGATAAAATGTAAGTTTTTAACAACCAGTATTATTATACTCTGTGGAAATTTCACTTTCCAAAGGCAACCATAAAGGTCACTGTAATAGAACGCCAACCAAAAACAGGCAATCACAGACTCAGAGGGACAGGGGCACCCAATTCTGGAAATTCTGGGTAGACTTTCCAGAGGCAAATCTAATTTTATCTTCCACAGTCTGACCAGGAGACCAGAAGATGGAGGCCAGTGTTATGAAATTCAAAGTGGGCTGGCAGGTACCAGGGAAGCAGCCAGGAAGGAGAGGGCTCAAGAGCAGTAATTTAACAATTGTCATCGAAAGTTTTCTAAAGGTGATTTGGTTCTCAGTAATACCCTCTGAGTATCTACTCTGACTATATTTATAGTTTACAAAGCATTTTTCTGGAGATTTTCATTGGATCTTTGCAGCAAACCTGTGAGATTAGAGGGCAAGTGTTATTCTTATTTTACAGATGAAGGTCCTATGACTCAGATAGAATTTACTAAGCACTATTCAGCTCAAATAGTATATATCAGAACTCAAACTTAGGTGTTCTGACTCTAAATTCAATGATATAAAACCTTTTCGCAATGCTATAGTGTGTCCTTCACTATCCCACCTTCTAACAGAAAAAAACAACATTAAAATAAAGTACAGTCAGACATTCTCCTTGATTAAGAGAAGGAGTAGACATGACCTTAAGCAGCATTCATGATTGCTGTTTCTTAGGAAACCATGAGTGAAACAGCCCCCTGTGTTCTGGTGAAGACAAAGGTTCCATATTTCTAAAAGAAGAGAAGTCGGAGGCTGTGATCCCTAGTGGGAAGAATACTGTAGACAGGGCACCTGAGTTGCAATTCTGCCACTCCACAAATCCACCTGGGCAACTGTGGGCAATTTTTTTTCCAGCTACTTTGCTAAGTGCTTTACACAAATTATCTCATTTCATCTTCACAGTAAATTAATGAAATAGGAAATACTTGGTACTCTCATCTTACAGATGAGGAAACTGAAACTCACACAGTTGTCATTTGCTCAAGGTCACACAGCTAGTAAGTTAGAAATGGATTCTAACCCACATATGGCTGACCTTAGAGCTTGTCCTTTTACTTCTGTACTATAGTGTTTGATATTGCCCCTCAACCTACCCCCTGCTCCCTGCCAACCAATATGAAATAAGATGATGAAAAGACTAAGAAGTTTCTAGGGTCTTTCCTATGTGTAATATCTGTGTCCTTGACTTTATGTTCAGGTGGGGCATTAGCTGAGGACAGGTTCAATGTTGGGAAGAAGGAGAGTGTGGAAAGAAAAAGATAATTAGGACTCATTGAGTAACCTGCTCTTCTTCTCATGCCATGCTAGACATTTTACATATACCCACCACCACCTTCAATCCTCACAACCGGTCTTACAAAATAGGTGTTTTATCCCTGTTTACAGAGAAGACTCAGAGAGGTTAAGGTAGCAGCCCTAGGTTGCAGATAGTAAGTGGCAAAGGTGAGATTCTGATCCATTCTTCTGACTCCAAAGTTCATCCTCATGCTTTTAAACCTTGTAGCTGATAGGCTGGAGGGTGGCAAGAGAAGAGTGAGCCAGAGACAGCATTTGCCATAGTAAACACATAAGACGTGTCATGGCCTGGAAAGCAAGGCCCAATCCCCATAGGTCTCTTTTTGAAGATTTGAACTCTATGTGTCTCACCATTGTGATACATTGTCAATTCTTCCTCATGGACTTGACGGATGATCCTTAGCTTCATCCCACCTTCTCTGCCCTCTTCCTCCCCATCTGTATAGTCATGGTGATGGGAAACCTGGGCCTCCTTGCCTTCATTGCGGTCAGTCCCCAGTTCCTCACCCCCATATATTTCTTCCTCAGCAACCAGTCCCCTGTTGACTTCTGTTATTCTTCAGTAACAGTCCCAAAAATATCAATGGGGTTCTTTTCTGATTGCCAAGTCATCTTCTTCTCTGGCTGCATGGCCCAGTTAAGCTGCTTTTAAAATCTTTGCTGACACTGAGTTCTTCCTCCTGGCCTCCATGGTCTATTACCACTAAGAGGCCATCTGCAATCCTCTGCTCTACCATATCACCATGTCCCCAAAGCTCTGCTTGCAGCTGGTGGGCACCGGCTATGAACATGGTGCTCCTCAGTAGCACAATCTTTCATCTGATCTTCTGTAAGTCTGTGCCGTAATTCTTTACTTCTCTGATTTCTTCCCCCACCGAGGCTTTAAAAACTCTCCTGCTCTGACATGCAAGGCCTTCAACTTCTTACCTTTGCCTCTAGTAGCTTTAATGTATCAGTGTCCCTGACAATCATCCTTGTCTCCATTTAATTATGAGAATCCCCTCGATTTGAGGCAAACACCTGTGCTTCCCACCTGACAGCAGTCAGCCTGTGCTATGGAACCACAGTGTTCCTTCACCTACACCTATCCTCTAAGTCTCACCAGACAGAGATATGATGATCTCCGTTTTACACAGTGGCTATTCCCATGCTCAACCCCATGGTCCAAAGTCTGAGGAACAAGGATGTGAAGAAAGCATTTGGGACTTCCTCGTGAAGGTTTACAATTCCTCTCCTTCCCCATGCCCAGGTCCCCACGCTGTCCAAAACAGTGAAGGAGGGGAAGGGAAGGGAAAGAGATGGAGGTGATGTATTTTGGTAGCCAAATGTGTCTCAGACATTATTCTAGGAATTTAAAACAGGTCATGCATCGAATTTTCTTCACAACTCTAGAAGTCAGGAGTTATTATCTTCACATTAGAGATGGGGAAACTGAGACTTGAAAGATTTGGTGATTTGCCCAAGGTCGCACAACTTCTCTGCAGTAGAATTTGGATTTCAGTTCAGGGCTATTTGACTCTGTAACTCCCTTTATATAACATATCCCTGTTTCAGTATAAGGCAAGATGCCACCTACTCTCTATACTCTTAGAGTTCATGATTTCCACATTTTTCCCTCTGAGAAATTTGCCTATAGTATGTTTCGTGTATCTGTATCCCCGACAATCATCCTGGTCTCTTTTTAATCATAAGAATTAACAGTCCAGACTCTCAAATTATAATAAATTCAGCCTTCTAAGACCCACTCCCTTTCCCATAGTTGGTTCCTACATGTGGCTTTAGATCATGCCCTATCAGGCCACAAAATAAATTGAACACTTATTGTATACAAAACCCTACACCAGATGCGAAGTTGAAGAGGGATCAGGAAGAAGGAAGTTGTGGTCACCACCTTTTGTCAACTTCCAACCCATTTAGGAAAGAGTGAAGATCCCACCCATAAGAAAGCTGAACTATGACCTTTTGTTTAATTTAACGCGGGTTTAATGCTTTTTATGTGCTAAATGCTAAATCAGTTATCTCATTTAATCCTCCCAGGAACTCTGCGAGGTAGTTGCTATTATTGCTTCCATCTTTGCCAATGAGAATGCTATAGTTAGGAAGGGTTAAGTAGCTCATTCAAGGTCACACAGCTAGTGAATGGTGAATACAGGATTTGAATCCAGATCTGTTTGTCTAAAGAGCTCATGTTCTTTCCACTCTGGTGTATCCCCTCCTGGATTACTGAAGTGCCAACCAACAAGCACCTCCTGGATTTAAACTGTGAGGCTGGGAAAAAGGGGAAATAGAGATCATAGGCTGAGATAGAAGGATTTAGATGCATAGAGGCCTGGTTTGTCTAGAGCAGGGCGGAAGGCATATTTAGAAGTAAAAGATACTGAGAAAATGAAGAGATGGTTGCCTAGGGCTGATATCTACAGTAACTTTCTTTATAGACCTCACTATTTACAACCATTTGTGAAAAAGATCTTAATTGGTCCCTAGTTTCCCTAATTTGACCCAAGATGGCTTTGACTGTATGACTGCTTAGAGTAACATGTTTTGCAGACCAAGACCCATAACTTTACCCTGTTCTCTGTCTACAGTCCAGACTTTTCAGATTGACCAGATGACCAGCAAATTTGAGCCTTTGGTCACAGGGGCCATCAGGAAATTACTTCCTGACTCAAAACTCATCCCAGGGTACGTTTGGGCAGAATCTAAGCAAGTGTGTCTAAGTGAAGTAGCTTCAAGTGTAAAGGCAGCCAGACTTAGGTGGGTAGGGTACATTTAGCCCCACCACTGGAGGATCTTGCTTCCTGCTGCTGTCTTCCTTGTTAGGAATTCCCCTGTCCAAGAGGAGGCTTTTCTCTATTTTGTCACTTGCCTGGACTATGCAGTAGCCTCCTAACTAGTCTCACTGCCTCCAGACTTGTCCCTTATTTATTTATCCTCCACACTGCTGCCTTATGAACATTGTAAACACTCTTTTCTTGGAACTTTAGGACCATGCAATCATTCTATACTCCTATCATGCTTTATTCTATTTTACTTTTCTTAAATCTTATTTTACCTCCTTTACTAGACTTTATGCCTTGAGTGAAGGATCAACGTGTCTCAGACCTGTGTAACCACCTTAGTTGCCTGGAAACAAGTTGGCATTCAATATATGCTGTTCATAATAAGAATGATGACTTTGCAAGTACTGTGAATATGTACTTGAAGCTACTTCACTATCATATTAATAACATTTTAATCAGACTTTAATACGATATAAATTAATGAAAATATCAAAAATAATTTTTAATCTAAAAACCTCCATAAATTTGGACAAAAACTCTTCTAAATAAAATAAAGAAAAGGTAATGGAAATTATAAGCAAGTATTACTTAATGACATATACTGCATTGTAGGGTGCAACTAATGTCATATTTATAAGAAAATATGATCCATGAAATATGAAACAACATAACTGAATATTTATATGCTAAACATTCAACTCAAGAAGTTAGAATAATAACCAGGAAGCCAACCAGAAAAAAGTTAAAGAAAGGAAATAAATACCAACACAGAAGTTAATAAAATAGGAAACAATAACAAAAATAAAAATGCTTTATCAGGTGGAAGCATAATTTTTTTTCTTTTTCTTAAATTTAAATTTTTTTAAAAAAAGCTTACATTCAGAGGGTACATGTGCAGGTTTGTTACATGGGTATATTAAATGTGATGCTGAGGTTTGAACTTCTATTGATCCCATCACCGAAGTAGTGAACATAGTACCCAACATGTAGTTTTTCAACCCTTCCCCTCCTTCCTCCCTCCTGACTTTTGGAATCCCCAGTGTCTCTTGTTCCCATCTTTATGTTTGTGTCTACCCAATATTTAGCTCCCACTTATAAGTGAGAACATGCAGAATTTAATTTTCCCTTTTTGTGTTAATTATCTTAGGATAATAGCCTCTAGCTGCATCCATGTTGCTGCAAGGGACATGATTTCATTCTTTTTTAATGACCACATAGTATTCCATGGTGTATAGGTACCACATTTTCTTTATTCCATCCATCAGTGATGGGCACCTAGGTTGATTCCATGTCTTTACTTTTGTGAATACTACTGTGATAAATGTGGATGCAGGTGTATTTTGGGTAGAATAATTTATTTTCCTTTGGGAATATACCCAGTAGTTGAATTACTGTTTTGAATGGTAATTCTATTTTTGGTTCTTTGAGAAATCTCCAGACTGTTTTCTACAGGGGCCAAACTAATTTACATTCCTGTAAGTATTCCCTTTTCTCTGCAACCTCACCAAAATCTGTAATTTTTGACTTTTTAATAATAATCATACCGACTGGTGTGAGAACAGAAAAAAAGGAAAAGGTGCCCAGTCTTTTTTATGAGGCTAGCGAAATCTTGATACCAAAACCAGATAAACTTGTTAGAAACATGAAAAATTATACACCAACATCATTCTTCGTAAAAAGTCTTAAAAAGTCCTAATTAAAATATTAGTGACTTGAACTCAGCAAACCTACAAAAAAAATGCAGTATGATCAAATGAGCTTGATTCCAGGAATTAAAGGATAGTCTAACATTAGAAAATTTATTACAAGTCACTACTTAAGCTAATTAAAGAGAAAGCAATGCATACTAACCTCAATAGACACAGAAAAAATGAATAAATAAAATTCAACACTTCTGTGTTGTAAAAAAGTGTAAACAAATCAAAAATAGAGGGAAGCATTTAATCTGACAAAGGATATATATGAAATACTTGCAATAAACATTATAATTAATGTAGAAACTTAAAAAGCATTCTCATTAGAGTCATAAGATGAGATATCTACTCTCAAAACTAGTATGTAACATTGTATCCGTGAAATCATTGTCAATTCATTAAGACAAGAAACAGAAATAGATTTAGGCACTGGAAAGGAAGAGAGTGTCATTATTTATGAATAATTTGGTTGACTATCAAGAAAGTTAAAAAGAGTTTTCAGAAAAACTATTTTAACTGTTAAGAAAGTTCATCAATATTGATGCATGGAAGATACATTTTAAAAATCAATAATATTCTTAAACAGTAGAAAAGCAATTAGAAAACATAACTTTTTAGAAAGTTACTATTCACTAGCTAAAAATAAAATAAATAGCCTATAATATCAAGTGTTGTTCAGGATAAGGGAAAACTGCAAGAATTTGCATACTCTGCTGTGGGAATGCAAAGTGGTGCAGTCATTTTGTAAAAGTGATTGACAATTTCGCATAAAGTTAAACATACACTTACTATATAACCCAACAATCCCACTCTCAGGAATTTACCCAAGGGATATGAAAGCATGTCCACTCACAGACTTGGTATGTGAATGTTTATAGTAACTTTATTCATTATAGCCAAAATCTGCAAACAACCATGAACTAGCAACGGATCAACAAGCTTGGGTACATCCATACAATAGAATACTACACAGCAATACAAAAAGAAACTGCTGATACAAACAGATCTAAAAAACATTGTGCTGCACTAAAGACAACAGGCACAAAGGATTATATGCCATATAGCTTAATTTATATGAAATTCTAGAAAAGGGCAAACTATTTTGACAGGAAACATAAAAGTGACTGCCAAGGACTCAGTGGGAAATGAGACTAACTTCAAGGCGAATAGGGGAACTTTCTGGAGTGGTGGAAATGTTCTGCATCTTGATCGTAATGACTACTACACCTTTGCCAAAACTCATAAAATCAATTGTTCGTAAAGTATACCTCAATAAAGCTAGTTAAAATAAAGTTCCCATTCACAATAACAAACAGCACTATTAAGTACATAAGTCTAACAAACGATGCCCATAGTATTTATGGAAAATATTGTATGCATTACTGAAGGACATTAAAGAAGACCTTAATTAAGGGAGATATATACTATTTTCTTTTCTTTTCTCTTCCTTCCTTCTTTCCTTCCTTCCTTCCCTTCCTTCCCTTCCTTCTTCCTTTCCTTCCCTTCCTTCTTCCTTTCCTTTCTTTCCCTTTCCCTTTCCTTCTTTCCTTCCTTCCTTCCTTCCTTCCTTCCTTCCTTGCTTCCTTCTCTTTCCTTTCTTTCCTTTCTTTCTTTCTTTTTTTTGATGGAGTTTCGCTCTTGTTGCCCAGGCTGGAGTGCAATGACGCGATATGAGCTCACCGCAACCTCCGCCTCCCAGGTTCAAGCGATTCTCCTGCCTCAGCCTCCCAAGTAACTGGGAT